ACCTGCATACAGGTTTCTCAAGAGGCAGGTCAGGTGGTCTGGTATTCCCATCTCTTTCAGAATTTTCCACAGTTTATTGTGATCCACACAAAAGCTTTGGCATAGTCAATAAAGACAATAAATCCTTGAAAATATGTATGAAAATCTTTTCACTAAGATCCATCTATTTCTCTCAACCTTTGTAGTTCACTGAGAGGTAGAGACTTTGGTGAATTTGATGACACCATCAATTTATTAAGGAAAGCTTTTCCCGTTCCCATCAGTCACTTTCAGTCTTTAAGGTCAGGAACAAAATCACCAGTGATCAAAAAGATAAAAGTTAAAAACAAGGTGAAGTAACTTTCCCTTAAGTGGTCTAATTTATAATAAGGACAAATTGTAAAAAATGTCTTAAATGCATCAATACAAATGAACTGAAATATCAAGTGGATCCACATTTCTCAAAAAGAAAGTTGCAAATAAGAGACTTCCTATTTTTACTAACTGGTAAATTTGGATGCTTAATAAAGTATCAATAGAAGAGATAAAACAAATATATTATTGTATCAGATTATTCATATGTATTTATTAATATGCTATTATTTAAAATGTATTTAATTTAGAGATAACTTATTCTTAGTCACCCTAATGAAAATAATTTTATTCAAATGTGCATATATTTCTTTGACATCAATGCTATTATTATCAGTAAGTTTCTAAATAATCTAGCAGCTTTTCAAAAGGATTGTGTTTGTTTTTAGAAATTATTTGAGATAGAGAACACGGTTTTTGTACATGATGTGTCTGTATACACAGATTTCTGGATATTAAACTAAAAGATAGCCCTTGGGGCAAGGTTCTGGTTCCCCATCAAGGGATACACACAATAATATCTCTGAGCTGTTTTTTAGATATTGAAACACCATGTGGAGAAGTTAAAGGTTAAAGAATGTATGCTGCTCATAAGCATGTAGACCCAACACCTGTTGGAACCAGAAAGTTTATGATGCTGACTCCTACTTAGCTCACCACTAACCAATCAGAAGAATGTCCATGAGCTGCATACTTGCTTTGAACTGTTACTATACAACTTCTCACTACCCTCTCCAGGTTGGGACACACAGCTTTGAGGGCATTGTCCCATTATGGTCCCCTTTGCCGAGTAAAATGACAAAGCTATTGTTTTTTACTTTACCTAAAACTCTACCTTTCAGGTATGAGGATACAGAAGCTGCAGCCAACTTCATTACCAGCTCGAAATGAAAATATCACCTGCCACATTAATAAACAAGAAATGTCACAGCCATTAGCAATTCTGGCCTCCAAATGTGACTGAGGGCTCCCCAAACTGTGATTCAGCAAATGCTGCCAACCTCTCCAAGGTGATTGCTGAGGAGCTGGTGGAATGCAGGAAGCAAGGTGAACAAGGAAACAGGATTGGCCACAATAGCTGAGGTGCATGTGAAAGGAATGAATTTTAGTGAGCCCAGAGGCTTGCTTCTTCCCATGCACAGAATGGTAAATTCCTTAATTTATATCTGATCTTTGGTGTTCAGAACACCTGCTTCTTTTGTTGCAGACTTGTACATAGACTGACTTCCCCTCCTTCCTCCTTGGAGCAGTTTTCTCAGAGCTACTGAAATACTATCTCATGAGCTCAGAGTCCTAAACATTCCCACCAAATAAAATAACTCTCTACTTTGAGGTTGTGACTATATTTTCAGTTGACAGCAGTCTTCAAGGGAGTGGTAGACTTACTGACTCCCAGTGGGTATTTACCCTCAGCACTGGACTTTGCCTCTGAACCCAATGCAGAATTCTTAGATATAGGTTTGCAAAATTTGACATGTCAATACCTACTATATTAATATATGCTCTTTAGTATTGAAATGATAAAAGCCTTGTATCCTCATGGAGGAAAATACCCAATTTGCAGTGTCAAAGGTACATTTTAGATTATAACCACTTGCCTTCCATACTCATTGATGATACTGAGGCGGCCAGAAAACTTCTGAGGGTTATCATGTACTAGAGAAAATTTAGTCCCAATATCATTTAAAGCTTTAACCTTATCTTTATTTCTGGAGAACCAGCGAATAGTAAGCTCAACACAAGGACTTCAGTTGCCTCTAGTGGCCCTCACTTGCAGGCCATCTTGGCCTTCATCCTGCACCTGGGCAGAGTGACACCCACCTAGAATAGACTGTGTCCCTGAGGTATCTGATGGAGAAGGCAGGGCAATAGGTATATTTGGTTTAGGGGGAGCAGATCTAAACTATTGTTCAGGTCTTACTGTTTTTGTTTGAGGAACAACAACAGTTTTATTGCTAGTTTCTTTTTATTTTTATTTTTTTCCCATGGATTTACATGTATTCCCCATCCGCTTCTCGGCCTTTTGGCTAAGATCAAGTGTAGTATCTGTTCTTAATCAGTTTAAACTTACTTTTGAAAGCAATTTGGCATTCTCTAGAAAACCTAGGAAGTCCTGCCGGTGATACAAAAGGAGACACACGCACAAGAAAGAAACACTTGCTATATTCATGAAGAGAAAAATAAGAAAATAAATTGGGGTACATTCTTAGGTTAGAAAACTATCCACTGTTTAAAATGAGCTAGCAGAGACTTGTCCAGGGTTGTTGAGGGCAGCACGGCAGGACGGAGCCTGATGCCTGGACCGGGCGGGGATGCCGCCGGAGGCGGGCCCCTTAGGCATGCTGCAGACGCTTCCTAACTACTTCCGGTGTCCCTGGCAGCGGCCAAGGTAACCTTGTGGCTGCTCCGCTGTTTGCCGGCTCCTTCATCAGCACCATCAGTCTGGGCTTCCGCACCGACTTCACGGCTCCCTCTTCCACGCCTTCGCGTTGGTGCTCAAACAGAACTCCATCTTCAGCTTCCTGGCTGTTCCCGACGGCCTAGCTGTGCGCGTCCCACTCAGGTATTCGAGTTTGGGGTCTTTGGGGCATGAGAAAGAGGAGTCGTTTCTGCCGTTGGGGCCCGTGCCTTCGGCATTAAACTGACCCCGTTTCTGAGGTGAAAGAGGAGACCGTGTCGTCAACAATGGCACAGAGCTCTGGGGTGGGACCACAAATGAAAGCTGTTACCCTGTGAAGTGTCTTTTTGAGGATGAGGTTCCCGTTATTTAGTAAGTGAATTGTGAGCTAAGTGTCTTTGTGTATCTGAAAATGTCTTCCTTCTGTTGTCACTCCTGTATGATAATTTCACTTGGTATCGAGTTCTAGATTCAGAAATGTTTATAGGCACTTGGAAGATATACTCTAGTAACTTCTGAAATATATTGTTGCTTTAAAAATACCCTAGTGGCAGGTCACTTAAAGTTTTATTTAATCACTGATGTTCTGAAATCTGCCCATGAGACATCTGAATGTTAATAATTTTCATGTTCATTATTCAGTGTTCACTTTCAATCTCGAGATTCATGAACAATTCTTGGATGATGTATCTTCAAGATTTCTTTACAAAATTTTATCCGTTTTTTAAATCCATATACGTGGTGGTATTAGTCTATCTTCCATTGATGTCTAATCCTCTTCTGTATTTTTGAAATTTTTTTCTCCGTAGTGCATCCTGAGTAAATTGACACTACATGTAATTTCACTATATTTCCATTAATATCAATCTGTGCAGTTTTTATGCTATCTCATTTTTTAATTCTAATGATTATACTTTTTACCTCCAAAATTTCTTTTATTTTCTCTTTACTTTCTTGAATAATTATGCATATTTTGTTTTCAAAATTGGTTATGGTTTTCCCTAGCTGCCTATAAGGGATAATAATATAGTAACAGTCTATAATAATGCTTTAAAAAGAAGGCATATCTGATTGGCAATGGAATAAAAATGAAGATCCTTTTTAGACAAACAAATGTCATTATAATGTTTGACTGTGAGTTCTGTGCAGGATAAAATAAAGCACCTGAAGAAGGCCTTTATTATCAGTACTCTCCCAATCATATTTATCCTCCTCTATCTTGATCCCCATCTCTCTAAGGAGAATGGTCCCTTTTGAGTCCATTTTCAAGCTATTACTGAACATTTGTGATGTTTAAATATAGGTTTAGGAGAAGTGTGGTGATAAAATTGTGAACTGGATAAAGAATGAGAAGAAAGCACTAGTGAAGGGAGAAAAAATTTTATGGAGATGTTAAGGTTGTGCATAGAGAAGAAGCTAGAGAAAAAACACCAAAAACCTCAAGGGTTATTGTGGAAGGGAATTTTAGGAGTTTGGTTTATGAGATGGTCCCAAGAGAATTGGGAAAAAAGGGATAAAGATTTAGAAGTGTTTGCTAAAGATTATAAATCAAATCCCAATTAATTATTTACAATGCAAATAATAATGGACTTCAGTTCAGTTCTGTTCAGTTGCTCAGTCGTGTCTGACTCTTTGCAGCCCCATGGACTGCAGCTCATCAGGCCTCCCTGTCCATCAGCAACTCCCAGAGTTTACTCAAACTCATGTGCATTGAGTCAGTGATGCCATTGAACCATCTCATGCTCTGTCATCCCCTTCTTCTCTTGCCTTCAATCTTTCCCAGCATCAGGGTCTTTTCAAATGAGTCAGCACTTCACATCAGGTGGCCAGAGTATTGGAGTTTCAGCTTCAACATCAGTCCTTCCAATGAACATTCAGGACTGATTTCCTTTAGGATGGGCTGGTTTGATCTCCTTGCAGTCCCAGGGACTCTCAAGAGTCTTCTCCAACATCATAGTTCAAAAGCATCAATTCTTTGATGCTCAGCTTTTTTTATAGTCCAGCTCTCACATTCATACATGACTTGTGGAAAAACCATAGTTTGAATAGATGGACCTTTGTTGATAAAGTAATATCTCTACTTTTTAATATGCTGTTTAGGTTGGTCATAACTTTTCTTCCAAGGAGTAAGCATCTTTTTATTTCATGGCTGCAATCACCATCTGCAGTGATTTTGGATCCCAAAAAATATTTTTATGGAGCCCATAAAAATAAAAAATAAAAATAATGTCTTTATTTATGTTTCCACTGTTTGCACTGTTTCCCCATCTATTTGCTGTGAAGTGATGGGACTGGATGCCATGATCTTAGTTTTCTTAATGTTGACCTTTAAGCCAACTTTTTCACTCTCCTCTTTGACATTCACCAAGAGGCTCTTTAGTTCTTCTTCACTTTCTGCCATAAGGGTGGTATCATCTGAATATCTGAGGTTGTTGATATATCTCCCAGCAATCTTGATTCCAGCTTGTGCTTCATTCAGCCCAACATGTCTCGTGATGTACTCTGCATATAAGTTAAATACACACAGTGACAATATACAGTCTTGACATACCCCGTTTCCTATTTGGAATCAGTCTATTGTTCCATGTCCAGTTCTAACTGTTGCTTTCTGACCTGCGTACAGATGTCTCAAGAGGCAGGTTAGGTGGTCTGGTATTCCCATCTCTTTCAGAATTTTCCACATAATGGAAACAATGATGGATTTACTATTCATTTGTTTTTCACTGTGAACTGAATTTGAAATGTGCCTTACAGTCATTAGCCACCAGAGCCCTGGGTATTATTTGTGGTTATATTGTTAAACATTCCTTATCGCTATGGTAGCTTACAGTATTCTTGTTTAATCATTTCTTGCTCATAATTATGCTGGCTCCTAATGATGCAACCAAAGCTAAAAAATATTAAAACTGATGTTTCTGATTTTGATTTTCATTTGAGATTATCTGAGAATAATTTTCTCATAGATAGATAATAACCTGTTGGTGTTCAGACACTAAGTTGTGTCCTCCTATCTTCAACCCCATGAACTGCAGCATGCAAGGCTTCCCTGTCTACCATCTCCCAGAGTTTTCTCAAACTCATGTCAATTGAGTCAGTGATGCCATCCAACCATCTCATCCTCTGTCTGCCCCTTCTTCTCCTTCCCTCAGTCTTTCCCAGCATCAGGGTCTTTACAGTGAGTCGGCTCTTCACATCAGGCGGCCAAAGTATTGGAGCCTCAACTTCAGCATGGATCCACTAAGAAGAAAGATTCTCTGATGGCTAAATCTTTACCAACCACTCTGCTCATTGTAGAATCTGTTTTCATAGAGGATGGATGGGCAAGGTGGAAATATTACATTTATTCTGTTTTAATATGTGTTAAAATTGTGATGAAGATGGTGAAAAATACAAAAGAAATAAAATAGTAGAATAAAATGGAGGCAGGGGACAGGGGCTGTTGTAAGGATTCATTGAGGTTTCATAGTCTGAGATGGTTCCTCTGAAGAGGTAACTTTCAAATTATGACTGGAATGATGAAAGGGAACCAGCATTGAGACAACAACAAGGAGAAACATATTCCAGGAAAAAGAACCATATATTCAAAGAAAAAAAAAAAGAATTTTGTATTTGAGGAACTAAAAAAGGCTAATGTAGTTGGAGTAGGCACCAGTAGGGTAGAGAGGCATGTAATAAGCATAGAGAAGGCAAAGAAAAAAAAAAATCTGATTCTGTTAGGAAGTTAGAATAGGAAAAAGGAGTCTAAAATGGTGGTGGCTAAAAGACAAAGGGGGAGAAGTGCTTGAAAATATAACAAAGACACGTCCGAGGGCTGGAGTAAGGACCTCAGGTAAAACAAACAGTACTCCTGGCTAGCTCAATTTAGATGTGGGGGAGTGTATAATTTCCTCAGTTCTTTCTTGCCGCAGCAAAAATTTGAAGCTATGGATGGACGAGTGTTATCAGTTCAGTTCAGTCGCTCAGTTGTGTCTGACTCTTTGCAACCCCATGAATCGCAGCACACCATCACCAACTCCCAGAGTTTACTCAAACTCATGCCCATCGAGTCGGTGATGCCATCCAGCCATCTCATCCTCTGTCATCCCCTTCTCCTCCTGCCCCCAATCTTTCCCAGCATCAGGGTCTTTTCCAATGAGTCAGTTCATCACATGAGGTGGCCAAAGTATTGGGGTTTCAGCTTCAGCATCAGTCCTTCCAATGAACACCCAGGACTGATCTCCTTTAGGATGTACTGGTTGGATCTCCTTGCAGTCCAAGGGACTCTCAAGAGTCTTCTCCAACACCACAGTTCAAAAGCATCAATTTTTCAGTGCTCAGCTTTCTTCAGAGTCCAACTCTCACATCCATACATGACCACTGGACAAACCATAGCCTTGACCAGATGGACCTTTGTTGACAAAGTAATGTCTCTGCTTTTTAATATGCTATCTAGGTTGGTCATAAACTTCCTTCCAAGGAGTAAGTGTCTTTTAATTTCATGGCTGCAGTCACCATCTGCAGTGATTTTGNTCTTGAGATTGGATACACAGACACAGAGAACACCACGTGATAATGAAGGCAGAGATTGGAACAATGCAACCACAAGGCAAAGAAAACCATGGAGTTCCAGAAAATGCGGAAAGCTAGAAAGCAAGGAAGAATTCATTTTCTAGTTTTTCATAGGGAGCATAGCCCAGCCATGCCATGTGGGGCCACCTAAGATGGACGGGTCATGGGGGAGAGTTCTGACGAAACGTGGTCCACTAGGGAATGGCGAACCACTTCACTATTCTTGCCATGAGAACCCCATGAACAGTATGAAAAGGCAAAAAATTAAGATACTGAAAGATGAAATCCCCAGGTCATAAGGAGACCAATATGCTACTGGAGATCAGTGGAGAAATAACTCCAGAAAGAATGAAGGGATGGAGCCAAAGCAAAAACAACACCCAGATGTGGATGTGACTGGTGATAGAAGCAAGGTCCAATGCTGTAAGGTTAGGTCCATGAATCAAGTTAAATTGGAAGTGGTCAAACAGGAGATGGCAAGAGTGAGCATCGACATTTTAGGAATCAGAACTAAAATGGACTGGAATGGGTGAATTCAACTTAGATGACCATTATATCTACTACTGTGGGCAGGAATCCCTTAGAAGAAATGGAGTAGCCATCATAGTCAACAGAAGAGTCTGAAATGCAGTACTGGGATGAAATCTCAAAAACGACAGAATGATCCCTGTTTGCTTCCAAGGCAAACCATTCAATATCATGGTAATCCAAGTCTGTGCCCCAACTAGTAACACTGAAGAAGCTGAAGTTGAACGGTTCTATGAAGACCTACAGGACTTTTTAGAACTAACACCCATAAAGACCAGTGTTATAGCTCAGTTTTA